GCACCGGTGCTCATTAGATCATTTCTGTATATATATATTAAAAATAGTATTTTCCATTATTTTATTACCTTACATCTAATGCATGCTCAAGGATGCATCAACATGATTATACGTATGAATATAACATGTTCATTAATTATAATATGTAAGGCAAATAACAATTTAACACAATATACATTTACATATAGGTAACATTGCAAGTATAAAGGAAAATAAAGGAAGTTCACTTGCTAGCAAGTTTTTACGTAACACAATTATATATTGGGTAATTATATTCACGGAATAATTTTTATTAGTAATACCACATTTTGATTTAAAGTCCTCAAATTTTGCACATTGTAAAACTTTTGTACATAATTCTTTTTCGTCGAATTCTTATCTTCAACATTCTATTAATTAACAAGTCTCGTCTTTGACGATGGTTTCGGTCAAAAAGATTTTTTCGCGTGCTTTGAAATGAGAAAAAAAAATTGTCACACTTTTGCATTTATTATTTTTTAAAAATATGATTGAAAAATAAGTTATGTTATGCCTCCAAATGAACTTGTTTCGCGGAAAAAAGTAAATAAAGATTGAAGGACTTAAATGAAATTAAAATGCGGTGTAACGAATAAAAAGTGTGGCGTGAATGTATTCATTCTTATACATTCAACGTCGTAACACATGGATAAATAAAAGGAGTTTATTGCCTTGTGTCTTTAATAATTAACAATGTTGTATCAATCAAATTGATGCAACAGAAATACGATTGATAAAAAAATGGCTATTTTCTTTAAGCCCCTCTTTGACAATTGTTATCCCCTCATATCTAGGTCACAGCTCAGACGCCACGTAAGCAAATTGCCCCACGTGGGGTCAGACGCTAGTTGCAAATAATCAGCAGGTTAAAAGAAACCTAGTAGGTCAGACACGCCAATGAAAACAAGTAGGCGAATGTCCTCAACACAACACCCGAAGTTATCACACTGTAACGGAAGTCGAGTCTGATGCATCTCATCAAAGATGAGGCTCAGGCCCATCTAAAGCCCTCTCAACTGGTTCGAAGTTTGTAAAGCCGACGTTGTCCCCTGTAATGGATTTGGAGATCTCTTAGAAGTGATTTGTGAGATATTTGTAATAAAGTGTATTAGAATGTCAGTGTGTCAGCCTAAGAATAGAACGACCCGTCCTATGCAAAACATTAATTGTATAGATGGGACGGTGACGTGAGGCTTCAGTATAGAGGATGTTGCCACGTGGTTTAGATCTGACGGTCACCATGTCGACCGGGGTTCTATAAATAACCTCAATTTGTATGAACGAATGATGACAATTTTTTTGTAATTAGAAAATCTAAGAGAGACGATATTATAATTTTTCATGGAAGAAACATCACAACAAAGGTTTACATGTCTTGTTCTTGAAAGTTTGCATGTACATGACAAGTAAATACGTTAAGACTCCAACAAAAGAAACTCCTCATTTACATATCTATCATTCCACATATTCCATTGGAAAAGAAAGATGTATTGTGAGAAATCGATCTGGGCATTCGTTGATAATGCGATTGTCATCGAAACCAAAGAAAATCGCCGTCGCCTGAACGTCTTAATCTCTTGCCGGAAAGCGCCTGTACGTCCATTTTCAACCAGAATACCATCATAACCTTGTAAGAACGCATCCGAATCACGCTTGACGTGGCAATAGCAGGCCCGACATCTGTTGAGTTCATTTTCTGAGGTCAACAACAATCATTAGTTGTTGAGGAAAACAAGGTTTTGAATAATGTTTTTCGAGAGAATGCGTGATTAAAAAATATAGAAAAGAATTGGGTTACGAACAAAATGTTTTTACGTGTTATTGAAAATAAGTACATAGAAAAAAGAGTTTAACTAATTTCTAACAAATCGTGCTTTGATTTTGTGCATCATTAACTATTTCAAATAAAAACCAATATTTAAATAAAAAATGCACAGAATAACTAAAGACTAAACTGAAACTTCCTGTGATAGAGGCATTTTTGGCCTAAATTTATATGACTTGTCTAAGTGCCTGCTTGAGTTCAATTATCTAAAAAATTATCTTTTATTTTTAATTCATTTTCGTCCATACATTTATTTTTAATAATATAATTGTGTAAGTAAAATCCAACATTTCGTACTTTTTAACTATGCATTTTCAAAAAAAAAAAATTCAATATTACAAAATTTATTATCTCAACGAATGGAATTCAAACATAACCTAAATTTTTAGTGGCATGATGAAGTTCAACTAGTTAAGCTTCATCGATTTCCTTCAAATCTATAATTACAAAGCATAGTTTATTAATTGTAATTATTTGGGTAACTTCATCTTTACTCCTAGCCATAGTTTATTAATTGTAACTAACACTGCTTAAGATGGACCAAATATTGAATCCTTTATTCGGGTTATAATGAACTTAGAATGATTAAAGGGAATAATGCATACCGACTAACAAACTCCGTAAAAACTTTCATAAATCAGGTGATAAATCAAATTATTAAATATATAATAATATTATAATATGCGTTCTCTCTTTCCCTCTCTCTCTCTATTGATTGACATATGATATTATATTCCCACCCCGTGGACCCCATCCCACTCCACCCTAGAAATCTCCATAAATTTAAATATATCTACACTCCCTACTCAATTGACCCAACCTCCACCCTACCTCATCATGGAAAATTTCAAAAACTAAAAACATTTATTGTTTGTGACCAACCCATGTTATCCATGATTAATCGTGACTGGCCCCGTCTATGAACAAGTTAGTCTAATTTGTCACGTATGCAACCAAGTTATCGACATATGTTATATGTAATTAACTGTGACTAAATTTACATTTTTGGTCGAATTCGATCACAATAAACACACACGTAGTCATAGAGGGTCACTAACAACAAATTTACACACACCAAAGACCGGCACCACAATTACCACCTTCAACTCAAATCTACTTTCACTTCAAATACACAACAACAATCGCCATCACTTCCACCAATATCTTCAACTAACACCAGTCACCACCGCTAACACCATCGGCATCGAACCACCAACAACAGAATCGCCCACAGAACAAAAATTCGAAGCATGAATTCCCCAAAATTCCACCACCTACAGAACAGCCACTTTCAAATTTTACCAAATACAATTTATCATACAAAATGATTATAAATTGATCATTCTACTTCATCAACATGTTTCCACTTATTGAGTCACAATGCCGTCGTCAACTATTTTAACACATACTTAGACCTAATTGTCGATTCCAATACCGATGGTAATGCTATCCTCAACTATTTTTGCATGTCCTTGGACCTCATTGTTGATTCCAATCCTGACGATGGAGGAACCGAAGGAGTAGGGAGAGCAAGTGATAGATCTGGAAAAATGGACGATGGAGGAGCGAGAGGCAGAAGTGGAAGACTTAATGGTGATGCTCCAGAAGAGAATCTAAAAATAAGGTGGTAGAACGGAGGAAGGTTGGTGAGTGGAGGGCTCGCCTCATTGCGAGCCGCGAGTCGCCGTCAAGGGCTCCCCAAGGCATAGCATCGCCGAGGTGGGTGGTTGTTGGAGTCGTAGATGATAGATATACAAAATATATATAGAGAGAGGGGAACGAGGNTATTTAATATAATATTAAATTAATAATTTGTAATCAACACCCGAAATCTGAATTTTAAACTTAATCCCCAGTTTATGAAAATTAATCTTTAATTATAGAGTTCTAGGTAATTTTCTCATGATTAAATTCCATGGAAACGTATAAAAAACGTCCCTTACTATAACCCGCTATATGACTAAACACTCAATAGCCAAAATGTCATCCTCTTGTATAAACTCATCCAAAGTAAAACACATGAAAAATACTTAAATAAATATTCAAATTGCTAGGAACATACAATCATATAATATAAGCATCCAGTCATCCAGATTAATATCCATTTTATATAAATATTTATGAATATTGACAATATTATTCTAAAGAAAATATATAAAACAATTAAAAGACCTAACCTCGTTATTAAAGATGAGAAATGGTCCGTTTGATTCTCATTATTGTAGAATGGGAATAAAAAATACAGTTGTTATTGGGCCCCACACAAGAGATAGAAATTTAAAATTGATGGCTTGATGTGATGGATAAAAGTCATATTTTTCATTTTTATAGATGAAAAATGAGAAACAAACGGAGGCTAAATAGCGTGGAGAGAATTCCCAGTATTGCTATTAATTATACTATATTATATTTACATAAAATTTTGCAACACCTATGAAATCACAAAGAACATATGCTAAATACAATTGATCAGTATAATTTACTCTTAATTTCATTAAATTATATACATATTGTAATTATATTTAAAAGGTACGTTTGTTATCTGAGATCTGCAAGGTACATGTCAATGCAAATGCAAGACTCAATTAAACACAATAACGATAAATTTATTGGGACAATGTAGGGAAGGAAAAACAAAAATAATTGGACCCAAAACAGAAGAGGGGGGGTGGGGGGTCATGGTTGGGAATAAGATTAGAGATGTCAACGAATCGGGTTTGGGGCGGAGCACCCTTACCCCACTCTGCCCCGCCACTCCCCCACCCCGTCTCGCCCCACCTAGAAGGGGCGGGACGGGGGCTTGCCCCGTTTATTTTATTTTTTTTTCAAAAACTTCCAATTAACTATTTTTTGTTTTTAATTTGAAGTTAATTATTTTTTTTTATTCTTCATGGGACGGGTTCGGAGCGCCCCACCTGCCCCGCTAACCCTTCGTGGCGGGGGGGATTTTATTACACAAATAAATGAGTTAATTTAATCGATGGTCACCGAACTTTGCTATAAGTTACTAAAAACTATTATTTGCTCACTGAACTTTGCTATAAATTACTATTTGCTCAATGAAATTTTAAAAATTACTTGTTGATTACCAAAATTTTAATAAAGTTACTAATCAATCACTCATATTATTTTCATCGGTGTTATTTATAGAAAAGTTCAGGGAGCAACGAATGACTTTATTCAAATTTTAGCGAATAATTTTTTAAATTATAGTGAGCAAGTAATAATTTATATCAAAGTTCAGCGATCATTAATTAAATTAACTCCAAATAAATTCATAACCAATAAAAAAAATGTTCGATCCAAGTCCCAATCATCCTCCCCACTACCAAACCATTTTAGTATGAATTTGCTCTGTTTTCTCGTGACTTCAAATACACGACATTAGCGGTTAGTACTTGATAAAGTACTATTCTTTTACCTTTTTGACTACGAAAAACTCCCAACTTGCTTTTCTTTTTCATGCGTCCTTTTTTGCTCTGTGAGGCATAATCAGCCCACTAATCCCCAAAAAACAGCACCATTAATTACACATTTAAAAATAACTCAAAAGTTACCTTCACGGCTTCACAGATCCGTGATCGTCCCGTATATTCACTATAAAGCCAGGCATTAAGCGGTGCGGATTTACTTTATTGCAAAAAATTAAGTACTATTTGAGCCAAACTCATTTTGAACGGCGGCACATTCTTCAGGAAAAAAAAAATTCATTTTTTTACATAATCTGTTATCAAAAAATGGACTCAGGGCTTGAGATTCAATTAGTTGAAAAAAGTGTGTGAGGATATTCTAATTTTTCAGTTTTTGGAGTTGGGTTTTTTCAAGATTTGGTTTTTAACCCGAGATTGTATTGTATTTAATTTTTAGATACTTAATTCAAGAAAAGGGGTTTCTTGTGGAAATGGATAAATCTCGAGCACTTTTGCTTTTATGTTCATTTCTTGAAGATTAATTTGGATTTGGGAAGTGGGCTTTAATTTTTCTCCAAGAAAAACTAAGAAAATTGTTCGTTCTTCAAGGGAGGTGAATTTTTTTGTGGAAAATATGATTCCCCTGTTCTTTTTGGTTGTATGCGCTGAGGGTTTAGTGGCATTTCTTTTAGTGGTGAAGATTGGACCGCTGAGAGAACTGGTAATGAAGGGTTTAGATCAAGTGAAGATGAGAAGGGGTACAGTTTTAACAATTGCTGCTACTATTTTTGTCATCCTCTTTTCAAGCATTTCTTTTAGTGGTGAAGATTGGACCGCTGAGAGAACTGGTAATGAAGGGTTTAGATCAAGTGAAGATGAGAAGGGGTACAGTTTTAACAATTGCTGATACTATTTTTGTCATCCTCTTTTCAAACCTTGTTAGCATATTCAAGATTCAGAACAAGGGTTCTAAGGTTGGTACAATGACACCTATGGATCAAGTACTTTGGAGGACCAATTTGCTAGAGGCTACTCTCATGGGTAAGATCCTTATCAGTTTTGGTACAATTTTGTGTATGGATATGATTTCTTAATTTTGTCCGTTGGTTTTGGAATATGAAATATACTATTTAAATTGTTGCTTCTATAGTTGTTTCTTGGTACATTATGAACGTGATATATGCTACTCAAATTGTTGCTTCTATAATTGAGAGCCTGGTCTATCAATTACATGTTTGATTCGAAGATGATTGATTTGTGAATGTAAAATATGCTGCTCCGTTGGTGGCTTACACGTGATGAATTTGATATGCATTACTGGGTCGGTACATTATCTACTTATGGTGAAAAGATTGTCTATAGAGTTATCTTCGTCGATAATTTTGGTTTTAGAGGAAGAATTTTCTTTTACATGTTTTTCAGTCACTGTACCTTTAGTTAATAATCAGAGGGAGTAGGAAAGCTGCATTAATTCTATGAAAAATCCATGTTCATATACATCCTGGATCCTTTACTCCATTCCTTCCTTTGATAGGAATGGTTGGACGGAAAAGAGAACATTCTTAGTCCTTAACAAATCACGGTGGGAGGGGAGAATACTTTCTTTGTTATTGCATATTTCTATCAACTTCATATCGGCTATGGATTGCCATCCTCCAAGTATCAGGTTCAATATGATGGAAATTATTTTCTGTCATTTAGCTTTGGTTACTCATTAACATGCATTTGTCTACGATACGTAGATGAACACTGAGATGACTATGCAAAATCTGAGTTTGAATTGAAGCAATCATGACAATGGCGTAGAGTATAATAGTAGAGAGAATGAGATGAAGGCCTGGTGGGGGGTTTATGGTCCCTAAATGAAAATAGTTGGTGACAAATAGATATGAGTCATCCTTTACCTGAGCCAGGGGCGGACCCAGCACCCGGCGAGGGGGCGCGGCCGCCCATGCTGGATCCGCCAGAGTCTTCAATACGTCGGGTGCTGTTGCAGAAAGAAGACCGGAAGAAGAAGGGAAGAAGAAAACCATATTTTCAGTTTGGGCCATTTTTCAGCATGACTCCTTCTCTGAGCCCAGCGTTTTCTGGAAATTAAAAAGAACAATAGGGTAATTCCTCAAAAAGATAAAGCAAACATTGGCAGATGAATCTTGGAAAACGAAAATTATTTACATGAATCCCATGTACTGTTAATACCTTGTTCAATTTGTAGGTGGGGTCTTGAAATTCTGTAAATTGGAGCATGTCTTGTGTTTGATTTGGCGATCTAGGGTGTCTTCAACAAGAAGACTGGCGACGAGCAGTGCCTCTTCATCCCAACCGACCATGGCAGTTACTGGTCTGAACCTTGGGCTAAACAAAGTTTCGTCTTTCCCGTCGACAGACAGACATAATGGGAAGTTTGTTCATATGAAAATTCTTGAGTATTATAAGTCTTTGGAAATGGAACAGATAACAGTTGGGTAGACGGTGGCTGTCTTATATTCTTCTCAAATTCCACACCCACTTCCCCATTCTTCTTTTTCTCAGATTCCACTAAAGAGAGAGATTTAGACAAAAAAGTTGGTCGACTTGATTAACGGTTTATTGAAAAAATCTGGGTGAATTTTCATAGAGAAAAGAGAGAGGTGTAATTGGGTTGTATGATATGAATTGTACATATTCTTCACTAGTAACGAGTGAGTAGTGATTACTAATTAGTGAGTAGTGAAAAGTGAAAACTATGGATGAATTTGAGATTTGTCGAGATGTTAGATGTTTCATGTTGTCGGATTGGATAGTTTGAGTGTAACGAGTGTTGAATTGTTGGAGTGATTTTAAGTTTTAACTATTTATTACTTATTAGATTGATACCGTTTTAATTGAAACAATTTTTGCAGATTATGGAACGATTTTTTCAACCGAAACGGAAGTCCATAACTAGTTCTTCTACTTCTAGATGTGCATCTAGTTCCGCGCACTGCTTCTAGTCGAGCATGTGAATTGTTAAATAACACAAAGAAGTCTCTGGCTCAATTTAATGTGGATGATCTTGTTTCTAATCCATGGAAACATCCCCCTAGAGTCATATAATCCTAATGTCACAGATGATGTTATGATGACATACTTACGAGATGATTTGGGATTGTATTGAATTATATTTTCATATATGTATGTATGTATATATATATATATATGAATTACATTTTAGTGCATTTACATATATATTGAATAATTTATAATATTATTTAATTAAATATTAATAAACGACCTTGCTCTTACGATCGTTGATTGTCGACGGTCAATGGTCAACGATCTAACATTCAGTCCGTCCGTGCTGAACTTTTGTATGGGTCCGCCAATGACCTGAGCCATGCTGATATTCAAATTTAAAACAAACTAGACTAGCAGGGGCAGAGCCACCTGAGACGTGTTAGTGCAGATGTCCTCACTAGGTTTTGGAAAGGAATAGTTGATATATCAATTTGTTGGTTTCTGTAATACACCAGCAGTAAAAGGAAGCCTGAAAAAGAAATGAGGAAGAAGGTGAAAGAGGCATAAAGCCATTGTAATCACTTTCCTTATTAGAGAGTAATTAGAAGATTACCCGTGGGTTCTAATTCTGTGGTTGACTGACGACAATTGGAGCTGGATTTTGCTGAGGAAATAGCGATGGGATCTGATTTTGTCTAATTGAGGATGAGAGGACTGATAGGAGGTGAAGACATAGAAGAAGTGGTATTTGGATTTTTATGTTCAGCCATTTTTATGGCATTGATGAGTGATGCCAAGAGAGTAGTTAGAAGATGAAGAAGATAAATATTCAGGTGGTTGAAACTAAAAAAGACTTCTTTCCCTAGCATAATTTGCTCTCAGCCTAATCCTTTGTAAAATATGCACTGTAAGTTTTGAGGAAAGGAAGTCTGATTGTGTCTTGATTGAGAATAAATGATATATTAATTAATACACAGAAGTAAAGTACCGAATGATCTAACTTAGTGCTCGCCTAGCTAATGTGAGTCCTAAGTATTTTGTGGTTAAAAATGATATTTGACCTGCTTATAAGATTAAAAAATTGCCAAACATGCCTTTAGACTTTTTACATAAAAGGGACTGTTTGGCTAAAGAATGCTATGGCCAATTTCGATATCTTTATCCACCACCATAATTCGAATAGTTTAGACACAAAAATTAACGATCTTTTATAACATTCATATTTCTTAATCTTGTCTAGATCTATGTAATTGAGATCAATGTATAAAAAGAACAACCTTAATATATCAAAAAAATTATAATATGTTTAAAATTCTTGTGTTATTGCTTTGTTTAAAGATATTATTTTTATCCAAGTTATGCCCCCACTGGATTGTAATCCTGGCTCCTCCCTTGAGTACGAGGTCTAGAGTCGAGTCACAGAGGGGGAAAATGAGGACAAGAAATTAATTTATTATCATTAATTTCTTAGATTATATATTAAGTGCTTCTGGGTGCTAATAGATGAAGGTTTCTACTAGTATAAGTACCTGCAATCTCTGATATTCAGGTACTGCTACCATTTCAAATATAATGTGTGTTATCTATCCCGTGAGAGACGTGTTCGCCAAACTCACTAGCCTTTGTTTTTCCTTTTTGAACTTTGAATCTTCAAGTCGATTTTTAATGCATTTGTTGCACAATGTTTGGAGTTCAATTATGATGTTATTGCAAAACATAATATGCTCTGCATACTTCTTTAAAGGCGTTGTTTTGCCAGTGTTAACTTATTCCAAAAATCCCCGTGCTTCAGTTTTTACCCATAGAACTTCAAATTAAAGGAAAATTAACAGCGGCTGCTGTTGCTAATGCATTGTGATGTTAGTTTAGATGAATGTTGAGTTTTATTTCCGGATGCAACCTTTACTGTTTTTTCTCGACTCGCCCAAATTACACGTTGAATGTTAATAACAACCAACGTTTAGTTCAAATTTGTAACTGCAATAGAAGTAGACCAGATTTGTCCACACATTAGACAAGAATACTGCCAAGTCTTCTTCCCAATAAATATGAGTTCAGCTACATCTATCCTTTTTAGCCACTCCTTTAGCTTCACTGTTTGATCTAGTAGAAGATCCAAAGCCACTAGATTGTTTGCACCCGCAACAGGCCATGTTTGTTGTGGTCTATCCCTCCCTCTTTTAACATGTTCTACCGTGGAGCCTCTGTAGGTCTACACGAAACACGTCCCAGCCACGTATCTCTATGCTCATATCTTCTATGTCCGTCTTATGTATACAGAACGTTAAAAGGTGTATAATTTCTTATCATTTATTATAAGTTACTGTCTGTTCATTGTTATTGCATCATTTTGCAGTCAAACCAGTATACAAGTTCTTATCATTTTTTATTAAAATACTGTATACTCATTGTTATTATTGCATAATCTGATAGTCCAACAATCTAAATCTTTACTTTTTGGGCGAGTCCCTAACTGTTTGAACTTGATCTTGTAGGGTTCTCTCTTTTCCTTGCGTTCTTAATTGATCGAGTGCACCATTATATGTGGAAATTGATCAAATTTAGGAGTAATTCTGGAGACTCGAAACAAGAGGTCGAGAGGCTTGAGAAAGAAAAGTTACAACTGAAGGAAAAGGAAGAGAAAGCTTCTGAAGAAGTAAAACGATTGCAGAAAGAAATCTCTAGTTTGATGGAGAATTTGAATAAACTTAAGTCAGAGTCTGCAGAAAAAGACAAGAAGGTGGGAACTGCTGAAGCTCATGTCGTTGCTCTCCAGAAACAAGCTGCAGATCTGCTTCTCGAGTATGATCGTTTATTAGAAGATAACCAGAATCTTCAAAACCAAGCTCATGGTTTTCGAAGTTGAGAAACTTGATGGAGTCAAAATGTAAGAAATTTTGAAAATCGTTTCAGTAATGTCCGATTACAATGATCACGATAAGCCAACAACGTATCTTGATGTTTCAGTATTAATGCAGAAGGGATTTGAACAGCATGGTTTAGCCGATTCGTCTAATATTGTTATACTTTATCGAAAGTTGTCATCTTGATTTTGTTTCTCCAACCCAACTTTAGAATATCTGTTTTGGTATTTTTCGACTGACTAGGCGATTTGGTTAGGTGGATGAGAAAAGTTTACTTGTAAAATGTTCTTTCATTTTTCAGAATGGATAGATTTTGTTGGAAGAACTTTTGATTCTTGCTGGATTGGCTTTTGATCTTTTTCGTATTAATGTGTTATATTGGCTAGTTTGATAGTTTTGAGTTGATGACATTTATATGATCTTATTTGGCTTTTTTTTTTAGTTTTTTTTTTTCGTTCTTTTGCGTGAATTCGTTTCCTCTTATTAGTCTGTCCCCCTGGTTTCAATGGTTGAACCAGGCACGACACGGCTGTCCCAAGTTAGATCAAGCATGCTCTGGTCATGCATTTCACGAAGTGGACCTTAGCTTCACAAAAGTTGTCTAGTTTGCGATGGTAAAGACAGTCATGGAAGATGAACGACACCATATGTACAGAAAAGGCATTCACAGAATGCTGCCAGAAAAGACACAATAGAGGGGTGGGTGGTCATTTTTTTTCAATATTTTACTCACATGGGGCCCACCCCGTGTGAATTTTCTGGTAGAATTCTGTACAAATGGAAATTCTCAACCAAGAATAGGTATTTATTTTATATAGACGAAAATGACTAATTAACTGAGATTAGTTCACAAATATATTTAACAAAATTAAAATCAAGTTTGACAAGCAATGAAAAATCGCGCCGTCTGTGGGAATCGAACCCACGACCACATGGTTAAAAGCCATGCGCTCTACCGGCTGAGCTAAGACGGCGTTCCCGTTGTTTCATAAATTTATAGTTGAATATATTGACAAGTTATGATTACGTTTCATTCACCCTCCTTACAGACACTTCTTTATCTTTTGAATTGTTTTGTTATATCGATCACTCAATATCTTTGATCTCTATCCGGTCCAGAGTTTCATAACTATACAACTCGACAATCATTTGATCCTCTTACTATATGACGATTACCTACCCAACGCTTCTTAATACCTACAGACTTTCTAATTTCCTTATTCTTTTAACCGATACTGAATCCAAGTGAATTGGTTACTTGTTCATGCTTGTAAACAAGTTAGATTGACACCATTTGAGTTTATTTTTACTTGGAAAAGCAAGCTTCTATTTTGCCAAAAAAATACCATTACGTGGCACATATTGATCGAGAAGTACCCTTACGTGCATGAGTTTGATTAACTAAATCATTAAAGTTAAGAGAACCACGGAATATATAATGAAAGAGTAATGTCAATTTCTTCATAAATCTAAAGCTTAAATCTTCATTTAAATGCAAGAATCTCATTCAGTAAAACTCGAATCCCATTCAAGACTTAAGCTTTAGATTTATGAAGAAATTGACATTAAAATCTCATTCAGTAAAACTCGAATCCCATTCAAGACTTGAGGAAATGGATTTCACACTCGTATGATCTTTACGAGAGTCAAGTTCAGTTTTTTCTGCCAAATTTCAGACACATCCAGTCAAGTAATCCCAGAAAGATATGGAACAAGCATAACTCCCGACATAGCAACAAAAGCAAGACAAGTAGGTGGATCAACTCATCAAGTTCCGATTCTCCAAGTACACGTTTATAAAACAAAATGGAACATGGATGTCAAATGACTAAGAAACCAATTTAACAAAATAAAGCAACAAATTCACTATGATCTTAACGTTTTCCAATATGTTAATCTTCTGTAACGCAAATACAATGATCATTCCATTACCCCAGATATCAGTCTTGTAGCATTAAGAGATGGCTTGGTAATCAGAGAGACGGATGATCAATAAGATCCAAGAACCAAGTGCGCCAAAAAACCTTAACCCCACTCAGATATCAGACTTTCGACTCCAGTGCTAGAAGTATCTTTTTTCTTGGACCCTGAAACCATAGAAGCAACCCATGAGATTACAATTAATAGTTTAAAGAAAACTAGACAATGCAAGGAAAAGGAAGTCCATTCTTGACATAAAGACCGACTGATGCCATATACGTATGCCCAAGGTCAGCAAACATTGTCAAGATCAGATCTGAAATATTATTCTATTTTTCTGTATATAATGAGAATAACGCGTTTCATGCAAATTAATGTAGGCCACTTGCTCCTTGAAGGGGAGAAAAGAAGATACATACCAGCATATTCAATAAATCTATCTCTGTTACCCTGCCTGTTTCTAACATGTTCCACAATTCTAAGTTTGGTCATTCTTATTCCACTTAGCATCAGATATTTCAATTGGCAAGGAACACCGGAAATTAAGATTACTAGTATAAGATAACAGTAATCCTCATTGGTCTTATAATCATTGTTATGTTATTATCTCAATCTGATTATTAGTATTCTGGTTTCATTTAATATCAATGTTTAAAAAACAAAGATTAATTGCAGAAAATAGACTTCGTTATTACCAATGGTTCATACGTTAGCTCAACTGTAATTTCAAAATTACTACATAGTTACCTAATTTCGTTAGAATGGGTGTCTAACAATATAAAAGAAGAAAAAGAATCACAATAAAAAAAATATATATCTATGTTCTCCTCAAAATCATTTTGTTAAGCACATTTAAGAGAATTCTAAACCAATTACTCACCAATAACTCAGGATAAACAGATGTGCAAGTCTTATTACTTGATACAACACCACATGCATAACGACCATGGATACATTTACGAAAATCCTTCACGCATTCTTAAATTATTTTTGGGAAAATAGACGATAGGTTACTAGGAATTCAAGTGTCACTTGTTATGCGGCTCAAAAGGCCAAAAAATGTATAAGCATAATAATGGCCAAGCCTTGCAATACATCCCAAAGTGAAAAGAGAAACTAACATACTCTCCCTAGGAAATCCATTAAATCCCAACCTATTCATAAACAATGATTGTGTTAATTCATATAATCTCAAGGCTCAAACCCAGCTCATTATTTAACTAGATGACAAAGCTCAAGCCAGTTTAAATCTGGTCATTTAGCAAAACAAACTAAGGTATTCCCAAACTAATGTTGCATGTCCTTATCCATCTAAGAAAATGAATGAGAGGACAGCAACACAAACATTTATGCAATTAAAAGAAATACATCAATTCTAAAAGTAATGAACTTAGTCATGACGTCAAGTGTTAATAAAGACAACTTAATATAATTTGGGAGTCTAAATGCTCACCATTGGTATTCCCAAAGCTTTAAGGTCTTCATCACCCATATGTACTAGGGCTGTCATGTCAACCTGCCAAAAACAGCGAAAGTGCATAAATAAGTAATTAACAACCTTAGTTTCCCAAATATACATAAACTGAAACAATAGATTCACGTACTTCTTCAGCCTGAAAAGTAATTGAATATTTCTCGAGACCAAGGGACTGCAGGAAATTATCCACTGATTCAGCCTGCATTGAAGATATGACCTTCAGGAGTGAATACATAACTGAAAATGACACCATTGCTTAGGTGCAATCCAGTATGCAACCCCCCTCTCCTTTTCCTAGAAACCACAAGAGAGGGGGAAAATCATAAAATACAAAATAAAGCTATCAGATAAGAGAAGATATGGTATCAATCCTGCCTTTGTCTGAGTCTTTTTATCAGAAACTGGGCCAGCAACTCTTTTGGTTTCTGGAACTGTGGCTTCAGCTACGGCACTTTTCCTACTAGGTTTACTGACTTCAGGAGCTGGCTTCAACCTTGGCCGTGGAGGCTTAACTTCCACTGGACGAGAATATAATGACCCTGAGAGCTTCTCACGCAGATCCCTCGTACCTCCTGAAATTGATCCCCTTGCACTTTGGGAAGCTTGCTCAATGCTCTTTCTTTGAAGCTTCAAACGAAGATCTTTCACACCAATTCTGCGGTCTATGCAGGCCATTAACTTAATATTGAAGGAACATAACAAAAGTAAACACAGCAACAATATATTTCTCACAAGCTAAAGCAACATAAACATTGTATACTTGAAACTTGAGGTTCATTCTCCTCAAAAAGATTGTGATCCCATTTGTCGTCATCTTCTCTTTGCCTGCACAAGAATTAACTTCGCTAAATAAATGATATATCCAAAACCGCAAAAAGGGCTCCCCGATCTTTAGATACTACTCCTAAGAGATGGTGCTCTGGTTTATCATCTAGTTGAACAGATGTTTAACTTAGTTAACTAAACCCTCTCTTTCCATATTGAATGCACTGACTTGTATGCACCACAAATCATTATCAGGAATCGATGTCCTATGAAGTGCACAAGAAAAGGGATTATTAGAGTTCTTTTTTCCGTTCTAAGTTCCAAATATTAGAAACTAACCACTTCAATCTTACATTTTTACTGAACCTAAAAATTGGGAGTGCATAAAAAGAAAAAAACCAGCAAAACATTCCAAATATTAATAGCAATAATGTTTCTTCTCATTAGAATCAGTAAACAACCCCAAATAGAACTTTTCGGCCATTTGGCAGGTCGGTTACTGTAAAACTAAAAGAAATAAAATCATCAATACAAAATAAATGCCTCTCAACTAATCTTATGACAGTAGAAAAAGTAAAGCCATTTCTAAAAAAATATAAAATAATCTATTCAAAAAATAAAACAATACGAGACAAAAAGTTACTATATTTAGTTCAGAGACACAAGCAAGCATGTTAATAAATAAAAAGGGATAACCTCTTGCCGGAGAAAGTTCTACGACGACCAGAATCAGCGGCCGAATTTCCGTTAAGCCTCTCCTTAATCGACCTATTAGCCTGGGCATCCGCCTCCACTCGATCAGCATACATCGCGTGATAATCACTAAAATTCGCAGCACCAAACCCAAACCCTAGCCCTAATTGTTGCGTGCACGTAATATTTGTATACAAAATGCAAGGAATTGTAGAGAAAGAAATTGAGGAAACGGAGGGGACCAAAAAGTGGGTTTTAGATTTTTAAAATTAATTTGCAGAAATGTCGAATTTATTTGCGAAAGAGAAACGAAATTTTAATGCGGGTTTGGAATGTGGATACCAGATCAAAGTTCGGGTCATCCAGTTCGGCCCAAACCGTATCTTTTCAAATCTAAAGACCGGACCGTAAAATATGGCCGATCCAGACCTAAACCGCTAGTACTCTGAAGACACTTCCAGAAAACACGTTGTATAGTTTCAGAAGAAGGCAAGTCTCTTCCCTCCCTACACACAACAATCGTCACAGCACTTTCAGCATTAATTTATCCATCAAAGTTTTATCCAGAGCGAAACTGGGTTTTTGGGTTTGTGTATTTGCATTACAAAACAAAGATGGGTGAAGGTGGAGTTGAAAGAAAGAGAACAATAAAGCTCTTCTGCCCATCTTTATCAAAGATAATCCATGTAATTGCAAGGGATGAGCAGAAACTAGACCTGGGTTCTATTGCTCGAGCTTTTGGGCTCGACCCGGCAACAATCAAGCTTAACGGTCACTTTATAAGCAGAGGGGTTGATCTTTTAGCTTCTTCTGTTACGTGGAAGTCTCTACTTTCTTTCTTCTCGGCACGTGGGCTCTCCACAGGGACTAATGATTCTGATGCCCTTGTTGTGGATGGCAAACTTACCAAAGTTGGGTCTAAAAGTAAGTTTTCTGGTGTTGCTTTGCCTTTTCTTTTTGCTTATTGTCAAGGATAAAATCCAGCGTTGTTTAACCGTAAAATTTATTATACTAAAATATACTTACTCCTCTTAATGGAACTTAAGACTCGATGTGGTACTGCCTCAAACAAGCAATTCACTCTTTTAAGTTTGAACGTCAAGACTTCTTAATATTTATGAATATGGTTCTCTAATTTAAAATCTTCCCTTTTTGGGGTTGAATTATAGTTGGGAACGTATTGATAGAATTAGGACTGGTTCTTGAGTGTTTAATTAAGTTATTTACTTTTTGTTTAAGTCATTTGGACTTTTGAATGTGGGTACTGGGAGGATAATGCAAGAAGAGTCCATAATTGTATAGGTTGTTGCAGCTCCTGCGGTTTTGTTTCTGTGTTGCACCGTATTATTGTTTCGATGTCAAGGAAGATTGGGGCTAGCTGGGGGAAATAATGTCATGAAAAGTTTCCTGATACAAGGAAGATTGGGGACTTAGAATTGGAGTTAAGAACAATTTAATCCATATTTTGAGGGAGTCATCCAGCATTAAGGATGAGTCCAACGGTTGACAATCGTTCTGGTATCTACAGATCTTTAATTAGGAATTGGTCGAGTTGTCTCGATTCATGGCTCACGCACAATAAGGTTAAGTGGGCTTTTTGCTTCCAATTCCAACACCCCAATTTTCTGATGCTAATAACTCGATCATAGTTGAAAATGAGCAGATTTTTTCTGTTCTATTACTTGAGATGATCAATTGTGTGACCTGAATTAACAGCAAAGCGCTCGACACTTGCCACGAGAGCACTTTCAATTCTTGAGGTTGACTGATCATTGAACTGGTGCTTAACATGTCGACTCCATGTTCTAGTGTATTATCTACTCTTTACTTGAGCTATCCACACACACACACACAAAAAAAAAAACACTAATCTAGAAGGTTAATGTGATTGGCCGAGGAGATATAGTGCTGTCTTTTATTATTTTAAATAGCCACTATATTCTGTCATCACAATGCATAGTTCTTTCAAGATGTATCGGTTGGTCAATAAATTCAAATGTGAAACAAAAATAATTGTACAATGCTGAAAAGAGGTGTGCAGAATGCCCAAGAATTGACACTTCCATAGTCTTGATATTTGAATCGCTTGGTGCTTGATATTATTATGAAGCTATCAGTCTATCATTCTTTATTCTGTTATTTTAGTTGGGTTGAAATTTGCGGCTTTCACCTCAAACTGGTAAAAATATATCGAGATTATTGTATAAAGTTTTAAATTTAAGTGGAATTATTGACCCTATTAGTGAGTGTGCATAAAATGCACGTCTTGGTGAACAGAACAAAACCTTAGGGATTTTTTCTGCACTTCGTCACTCATAATTGCTGTATCATGTGAAGTGCTCCACCCAAGATCCTTTTTAGATTTTTTAGTTGTTGATATGAAAAAAAAGGATCAATTAACAGAATACAAATTTATTTTTCTGCATGCTGTGAAATTACTATTTTTTTTTCTCGCAAAAATATACCTTCTTAGATGTACGAAGTAATTGGCTGCCCAGAGCAGAGCACAAATTTAGTGATTGAAGCTAAATGACAGTGGCTGCACCTGTTTAGATACCACGACTATGACTAAATGGAAACTTTTTCTAGCATTATGTATCAATAAAATTAAAAAAAGTTGCATTTATCAGGATATTATGGACAAACAGAATGCCAACGATCGACAGATTGATTCTGAAAATTGTTCCATATGATGCCACATTGTGAATTTTGAATCTGTTGGATTCTTTCACATTTTGTGGTTCAGTTGGGAAGCTGAGTTTGTCATTGGAAATAGAAACTTCACTCATAAATGCTGCATATTTTAGTTTATGCTTGTGTTCAGTGTGGGTTCTACTATGGTTTCTGTGTTTTTTCCTTTTCATATGAATTAATTTTGGTTCCTCAGGAGTACATGACCCAACAGATTCTGGAAATAGGAGGACAGATAACACTGTGGAATGCTGTTATGATGGAATCAAGAAAAAGCAAGAGCTTGAATGTAGCAACTTGCTCGATAACAAACGGTTCAGAGGGGCTAATTCAGGTTTTTTTTTTTTAATTTGATTTTTTGGTCAAACTAACCCGTCCATTAATTATTTTTTTGAGTGCGTAAATGGCACAATTTTAATAAGAGTATCATCCTTTGAAGAAAGGCCCGCATGAGTTTGCTTTTGCTTTCTTTTCAGTTTGATGCAAGGCAGGCTATGATCCAACATTGTTTCATGTCTTTTTAGGATCTGTACATGCAATAATTCAAACTAATGCCACGGGTGTGAAGAGAAAATCGGGTATGGATGATGCTAATCTTATAAAGAGATCGAGATTGAATGAAACTGTTTCAGGTAACAGTTAAGCTACATATATACTTTTTAGATTTTCTTCTCACTTTTCATCGTCGAACCCTCCCTCCTCCCTTCGCTTCGGAGGCAGTGGTCTTTACTGTCCTATATATCCATTTAACTTCATATTTTTCAGGGTTCCAGGGGACAGATAGTAACCTTTCAGCAACGTTACCTAACAGCAAATTTTCGTGCAGTTACATCAATAAAAACATGAAAAGAATGAGGGATGACGAGGCGATCGCTGCTGTCGCTTTCAAGAAGTTAAGATAACTGTTTATGGGCATTTCTCTGATGTACTCTAGGCTCCCGTCTTTCGCTGGTATGTACAGAGTTCAAACCAAATGCACCCTACGATGATGCAGTTCGTATTAGCATTAATCAATGTCAGTCTGTGTATGAAATGAGAGCCTAAAAGAAGAGCACAAGATAACTGCTGTTGTAAAATTCCGATCTTGTTTATTTCGACTAGAAACTTTTGAATATACGTTCTTGCTTGATGTGTCCACCTGCATTCTTACTCCGACATGGCGGACTATAGGAATGTGACTGCCTGCACGGCTTTTCTACATCTCCACGTGTTGGATGAAATTGTGAGATGGGGGGTGGAGTTTGAAGTCGAATTGCTATTTAATCGAATCGATGCTATGGAACCTCAAGTTTAGCGTCTCATTTCCTAAAAAATCATTTTTTTCCTCCAATTTCTACAAATTTTTTTAGGATTCACAATTTTTATTAAGTTTTCAATAACATATTTCATAATCTTTTTATCAGAATATTCTAAAGCCAACTCTTCAAAAATGAAACAATCATTAGTACACAAAAACTGCATAATCTCCTAACTAGAAGAAGCATAACTGATTAGTGCATTTTTGTACAATTATTCGGGGTCATATTATTAAGCTTTTGTGTCGTTCTAATATTTGATTTTACTAAACTTATGTTAATTTTATGTTATTTTGGTTTTTGATCAATTTCTAAGCAATTTGAAAAGAAAGAAGGATCAATTGATCAATGAATGGAAGTTTGGGGACTAATATGCATTTGAGTAAAAATTGAAGCATAAAAATTGAAGTAATTTGATGTGAATGGCCAAGATAGAAGAAAGAATGAAGAAAATAGTTAAAAGGAAAATTTACGAAATTTTTATAACTTGATAGCGGCCCCACTCTAAACCTCAATGACAGGGGTCATTTGTTATGCTTGGGCAGCTGTCCCATTTTCTACTAGGCGCATGTCTAGACTAAATCAGGAAAAAATGTTTGATTTTCTAATTTGATTTCAACTCTTATGAAAACAAATATTGAGACGTCTTTTAAAGACCTAAGACTGTCCAGAAATAACCATCACGCATTATAACATATTCTAAAAGATTTTGGGAACATAGAAGAAGTCAAGAACACGAGAATCAATTCAAGAAATCTATTGGGAGATGTCGATTCTTCAATATTCTTTTTGTTTTCTTCTTCATAACATGTTAAGCTAGATATCTACAAGAACACGAGAATCAATTCAAGAATTATTTCGGTGATGTCGATACTTCAATATTTCTTTTGTTTTCTTCTTCACAACTTGCTAGGTTTCTTTCCTATGTACTACGAGAACGATAAGCCATGTAATATGAATTTTAATATTTAATTTTATACGTTTGACATTAAAAACACGTTTTTGAATATTGTATGATTTTCTTTTCTCCACAATCATTGTGCACGGTAGCTATGTGAATTTGGTGATTTATTTTATGCATTCGAAAAAATGAAAATATGTTATACATATATAAATTGTCATATGGTCCGATAATTGATTCGTATATATAAAAAATTAATGAGAAAAATGTAAGCAAGGTGAACAATTTTGTGTTGTCAGAAGAATGTGTGTGTTTGAGAGAGAGAGAGCGCGCAATAGGGTCATGGGCGCATGAAACCGTTAAATTGTGTGGACAAAGGAAAATGTAAATTGTTTAATGATATGTTTCATTTAAATTACGAAGCTTCAAACTTCGAGCCATTCAAATCGAAATATATTGGTGTTCGAGGTGATAAAAGAAAACAAAGTGCATGTGCAAAGTCAAAGTCGATGTCGATGTGTATGTATTGCATTTTGAATTGGCGAAGTTTGAGAAGTTGTGATTTGAATTAGTGATCCTACCACACGTGCATATATGACCGTCCTATTAAAACTTCTGAAGAAAGCGGATATGTTTTGTGAAAGTGATTTTAACATTTTCAATTTTTTGAATAAAGATGAAGCGAATGTTTAATTTGCCCCCTTTTTTAATTTTTTTTTTTTTTGGTGGGACAAGACTAGTCTTGCAGTTTGACATATAGGAGTGTCATGTCACCATTTGATGTTAAAATAAATATTTTTTGTTAGCTAAGGACACGAGTGGGCAACAATGAATGGTTGGAAACATGAGTGTCACACTTATGACTTATAAAGGTTGAAAACTGCGAGTTAAATTTTTTCTATGGCCGCCGGAAAAGAAAAAGGCATATCTCGTTCTAGTAAATCCTAACGTTAAAACGTTAACATATATAAATAATTTATTAGGAATATTGGTGCAAAACTGCAAATGGTCAGTCAATCAATTCTTTTTATTCTCAGCAAATTTATTCACCAAAAGTACATAGGATCTTCTGGTGGATGCCATAAGTACATAGGATCTTCTGGTGAATGATCAATGTCCTGCAATATTGTCAAGAAAAGCATCAAGATTCATTTTAGATGATCCTCCTTCAGCAATCGCTCGATAGCAGATTTCTTGGAGTTCTCGCGCCCTGGGAATCATTTCTCTCCTCTCTTTGCTTTCAAGGTCCATAAACCTCTTTACGAGCTTAGCAATTTCTTCCCGTCTCAATAAATCTCCTCCTCCGGCCTCTGTCTTCACATCCCACCCTGTTTTCCAGTCCTCGACAATGAACTTACTGATCGTCGTTTGATCCATTTGAATAGGAAGAGTAAGCATAGGCTGCCCAGCAAAAATTCCTTCCATTGTAGAATTCCACCCGCAGTGAGTCCAAAATCCTCCAACCGAAGAATGGCATAACACTTTCAACTGTTCACACCAAGGTATTATCATTCCTCGACTGTTGCATTTCTCTTTAAACCTCGCGGTATCCTCACGGGCCACCCATAAGTACCTAACTCCACTTTCTTCCAACCCACCAGCAATTTCGTCCATTTGGGCACTCGAAACAGTAAGAAAACTTCCCAATGATACATACAACACCGAATTTGGAGGTTGAGAGCTTAGCCATTGCAAGTACTGCGGATCATTTTGGCTTGTTGTGTAACGAGAAGTCTTTTCGGGATTGAAGTAAGGTACCATTGGCCCAAGAGAATAAATGGGATACAAAAATTCCTGTTTCAAAGCATTTATAACTTGAGGCTCGAGTTCAAATATAGAAGTGAACAAAAGATATTGTGCCTTGGACACATTGGGAAAAACTTGTAGCGCTAGATGAAGAAGCCGTTGATCCTTCTCACGGTATAGTGAAGGAAGATCTGCCAGGCGAATTGAAGAAATACCCGGGATGTAATCGATACGTTCCTCTCCTCTTTCTACATCAGCAAAAGATTAGCACATAACTCATTTCCATCAAAAAATTACAAGAGCATTGAAATTATATATATATATATATATATATAAGAGAAAGAAATATGCAAATCTTGATTATTTGACACATAATTTGTACATTTGCAAACTTCACCATTTGTCAAATAAATAAAGTATATATTATGTAAAAGGTCAAACTCAACATTCTTGGAATATGAAAACAATAATCAATGACACATCAGGTAGAACAACTCAAAACATAAAGTATAGTTAACTTCTTCATGCTCGTTCCAAGTTCGAAGTACCATGAAGATAATCAATTTGGTCGTGGTGTTGGGACTCTGTGGGCTCGGCTACCCGAGTAAGTGATTGAGTTTCAAGATTAGGGTTGTCAAACGAGTCACCATTTTATGGATATATAGTAAAACAATAATCAAGGTAAAGAGGAAAAAATGGTAAAGAGAAATCCATAATTCTAACATAAAATCCACTATAAAAAATTACTATACTATAAACTTACCAGATAATTCGAAAGGGAAATGTCCATTTTGAACGACGAGGTCAAAGTAGTAAAAGCTCGAAAACACTGACGAAGGCATAGTCCAGTACGACGCCACTGGAATATTTCTCCGATTCCCGACCTCAATAGACCAATTCAAAAAAGTATCTGCAACGATGATGTGCACTGGCGACTGAAGCCGGTCGAGAAGCTTCTCAAAAGGCTCCTCCATTTTAGTTTGGGTAGCTCCCACAAAGCCTACCTTGTCGGCTACCCGACCCAACTCCGATGGCAGGACATTCGGGATTGTAGCGAAGCTAACGTTGGGAGGCTTCTCTTCCGAGCCGATGAGTTCGAGCCACTCTTCTGTTATTACAAAGGTGATTAGAAGTTTCAGGTTGTGGTTTGGTGAAGCCGCCGAGAGCATTTTGCAGAGGTTCATCATGGCGTTGACGTGTCCTCTTCCCGGGTAAGGCACGACCACCACGTGGCGGGATGTAATTGGTTCAGTTCTTTTTGAAGCCATGAAAGCCCGAGGGAAGATTGTAGCGAAACAGATGGTGGTGGCGACGACAGCGACAGAGGACATATGAAAATTGGACAAGCAAGTACTTGTTAGTGACAGAGCTATCACACGAATAAGATATAGAACAGTTACACAAAGAGCGGTTACAAAAATTAGTACACCATATTTCAAGGGTAATTACATTCCTACCTAACTTTTTATTGAAACTTAAATGCAATATATTTTGCCTTTGACCAATCATGCTATATAGATATAATGATTGACATAATTCTTGACATAATATCACACAATAATTTATCATTGAACTATTTAAAAGCTGTGGCAGAGGAGGTATGAAAATTAGACAAGCAAGTACATGTTAGTGACAGAGCTATCGCGCGAATAATATATAGAGCAGTTACTTAAAGATCAGTTACACAAATTAGTACACCATGTTTGCAAGGGTGATTACATTCCCACCTAACTTTTTATTGAAACTTAAATGCAATATATATTGCCTTTGACTGATCATGCTACATTTTATTGTGGACTATTTAAAATATAGTCAGTTTTTTTATCTAATCATATATTGTCAATACTTATTATGTCACTCTATTTGTCACCTACTTTCTGACAAAGTAATATTTATTTCTGTTTGACTCTCATTCTTAACAATAATATTTTTTTTTTCAAACTCATTTTCAATTGAATAGTATTATTTGCACTGCTCATTACTGTAGTTGTTTTATGTAGTATGTAAGTGAAAGTTAATGATTTGATGCATGAGATAATAAAAAATTACCACATTAATGCATCAAATCACTGACCGCCACATATATATCACATTGACTGACTACAATGGTGAGAAACTACAAATAATATTACTCTTTTCAATTAATTTTTCCTTACATTTTAATCATACATTCTCCAAAAAATCACTATTACAAAACATATTATCCCAAAAAGCGGGGCTCAAATAGATGCTTTAATGGTAACATTTTACACTTAATTCAACTCTTATCTTCAAATTTTATTCATTAATAACATGTCTAGTCCTTAATGATGTTTAAAAATTCATTAAAAAGATGTAAAAAACTTATTTCTCTCTCGTACTTTAAATAAACAAGATCAAATATAAATGCAAAAGGTTCAATAAAAAACTCTCCCATGATACTAAGATATTCGAACAGAATCGTTATTAGAGATAATGGCTAGTTTGACATGATTTTTGAAAAGTCAAAATGAGCTTTTAAGATCGAAAAAGATGCTTTTAGATCTGTTTGACTAATTTAGTGAAAGTATTTTCTTTAGTTAGAAAAGCTTTTGGCAAAAACTGATTTTCTTCTAAAAATATTTTTGAATTAGAAAATTCTTTTAAAAAGTAGGTTACAAATAAAAATTATCGCAACTGCTTCCAAAAACAAGCATTGACCGTTTCATTTTATTGATTTTTGAGTCAAACTAACCCGTCCATTAATTTTTTTTATTTTATATATATTTTTTTGAGTGCATAAATGGGATGATTTTAGTAAGAGTATCGTGCTTTGATGAAAGGCCGCATGAGTTCTTCTGCTTTCCTTTCAGTTTGATGCACAGGCTATGGTCCATCTATGATCTAACATTGTTTCATGTCTTAGGATCAGTACATGCCTTAAATCAAACTAATGCCATGGGTGCGAAGAGAAAATCGGGTATAGATGATGCTAGTCTTATAAAGAGATCAAGATTGAATGAAACTATTTCAGGTAACTGTTAAGCCGCATAAATACTTTCTAGATTTTTTCTCACTCACTTTTCATCGTTGAACCCTCCCTCCCCCCTTCGCTTCGGAGGCAGCGGTCTTTACTATCCTGTATGTCCAGTTAACTTACATCGTAATATTTTTCAAGGTTCCAGGCAATAGAAGGTAGCCTTTCAACAACGTTACCTAACAGCAAATTTTCGTGCAGTTACATCAGTAAAAACATGAAAAGAACAAGGGATGAGGAGGCGATCGTTGCTGTCCCTTCCAAGAATTTAAGATGACTGTTTATGGGCATTTCTCTGATGTACTCTAGGCGCCTTTCTTTCCGCTCGTACGTACAGAGTTCGAACCAAATGCACCCTAGGATGATGCAGTTCATATTAGAATTAATCAATGTCAGTTTGTGTATGAAATGAGCCTAAAAGAAGAGCACAAGAAAACTGCTGTTGTAAAATACCAGATCTTGTTTAGTTAGACTAGAAACTTGAACCATGGGCTAACTCTTTAAAATTGAACCATTAGTGCATAAAAACTACATAATCTCCCAACTAAAAGAAGCATGATAAAACTACCAAATTACCTAGTCATCGATCATCCACAACATAAGAGAAAAGAAAACATAAAAGATAACAAAACAATCCAAAATGCCACTAGAAATTAAAAATTTAAATTCAAGAAACAGCAAAACAAAAAATAAAACTATTGGGTGATTTTGAGGTGAAAAAATTTGGATGATCAGAAAATATCAAGAATTTCCAAGATGTAATTGTTGCAGAGTGGGCAATTCCCTTTTTGAAAACAAAGCTCCCTTGAACATAGCCTGCAAAATGTATGTCCGCATTGTATAAATGCTGCTCCCTTGTGTCTAACCATGCATATGCTACAATTGCTATACCCTCCGCCACCGCCACCACGGTGGTCATCGTCATCTTCATCGTCCTCATCCTCTTCCATCGCATAAGCCGATCCTTCTGTCTCGGCCAGAAGGTCCATCAAAGACATCCTCACGGGCTTCTCCTGCGCTCCTCCACCATCCTCATCCCCCTCTTCATTTTCACTTTCGCCCTCCGCAGAGTATGGTGTTTGATCAGCATCGTCATCTTCATGTCCATCTAGACCCCTCGATCTTCTCATTGCTAAAGAATTCGTGTGCTCAAATTTTCCGCTAGCCCGGCTCATTTTTCTCTCCATTGCTCGTCTCATATTTCTCTCCACGGTCTGGCTCACATTTCTTTGCAAAATCGGAGCCCTGCTTCCTCGATTTGACATCAATTCCATGTCCACATCCGGCACTGCCGAAATATCCGGCGGAGCTGACTCGCCCGAGTCGGAGGAGTATCGGGTCGAGGCATGGCGCGCCATCATCCGATTCCGATTATTACTCGTATTATTGGCGTCAGCATTGGAGTACTGCCGGGGGTTTATGGGGACGTCGGATGTGGGAATGTGCATGGTGGATGTCCAGGCGGAGCCAGAGCCACTGCGACGAAGGCGGAGCTTCTCCCTTAAATGCCGCCAGCTCATTTTACTATCTTTGCCATGGCCATACGTTGGGTCTTCACCGATTACGTTAAAAAGTAACCTGTTCGATCCGGATCTCTGCAGTGATTCAGTGTTACCGTCGCACCTACCGCCACCAGCACCGGTTTCCATTCTCAAATAAGTTGCCAAAAATGTGATCCAATTATAAAAGCACTTAAGAAATTGCGTATTTTTGTTGGGTGGGAAAGAATTGACAGGGATTAAGCAATAATTAATCAGAAAAAGAAAAATAGATGAAAATGAAAATGGGTGATTAATTGTTTGAGATCTGGAATTGCTACAGCTTTTGCATGCATGAATAAGAATATGGAAGCAAATACTAGTGCAGTTTGCAAGAAGACAAAAAATAAAAAAAAATTAATGAGAACAGAAAATCGAAGAAAAATATGTAAGCAAGGTGAACAATTTTTTGTGTTGTGAAAAGAATGAGTGTGTTTAAGAGAGAGAGAGAGGGGAAAATGGCGCAATTTGGGCATGGCCTCATGCGACCATTAAATTGTGTGGACAGTTAAGGATGAGTCATATTCCAACAGATGGGAAAATGTCAATTTAAACGTTAAATGCTAAAATTAATGTGAGGGTTCAGTTGGGAGAAATTTTTTAATGGGATAGTCCTATATACTATACTTAAATCACGATACAAGAGATCTCGATCCAATCAAATCGCAATACCTTGGTGTTCGAGATGGTAAGGGAGTAGGTGTACGGCGTCAAGGTATTACAGTGTCTCGAAGTTAGATGTATCATTATTTGAATTGACGATCGTATCACGTGTGCATATAAGACTGGTCTATCAAAACTTCTCTCAGTTGAGTTGTAGCAAGTGAATATGTTTTGTAAAGGTGATTACATCCTATTCGAATTTTTGAATGTAAGTTGAAGTGATTTTTTTTAAAACAAATTTAATCTTGTACATTACATTAGTGTCATCAGTCACGTGATCATTTGATTGTTCAAAAAATATTTTTTTGCCAGCTAAGGACGTGAGTGCAACAATGAAATGTTCAAAACTTGAGCTGTACTACATGTACAGAAAAATATTCACATGGTCAATAATAGGGAATATGCCCGAAAACTTATATGTAATATTTACAAATGTTGAAAACTGGGAGTGAATAATTCATTAGGAAATTTGGTGCAAATGATCCAAAACCTATGCCTTCGTATGTTTTTGATCCCTAAACTATAATTTTTGGTGAATTAGTCTTTAGCCTATGCTTTAGGTGCCTAAATGGTCCTTTAGACATAGTCCATTAGTTCAGTCTATGGCTTTCACCTTCATTTTACACCGGGGAAAATTTGGAAGAAAAAAGTGAAAGTGAGTCACTTGCAAGACTAACGGCATAGTTTGATAGAATATATCCAAAAGGACTTTTGAGCACCTAAAAGAATAGAGAAATCTCCGTCAAAAATTAACGGTTATGAAACAAAAATGTATGAAGGATAAAGGCTAGAGAATCTTTGCGCCAAAACCTTATTTATTTATGAATGACTATATATTTTTTTACCTAATAGTAATAAAAGTGATTGGCCTATTTTTTAAATTTTTTTAACTGATCAAACATACTTTTAATCTGAACTTGTAAAGTTATAACTTACTATCCACTTATTATTTATATATTTTGAAGGACTCAAGGCTTATAAACACTTCAAAAAATTTAAACATTGAACTGGTTTGTTGATACTTCTTCGTAGATCTTTTTCAACGATCGATCATACAAGTTTTGTTGACATTGAGAAGTTCTTACATAAGAATGTTATGTAGCACCATCGTTTTTTAGCATTATCTAGATTTCAT